CAACACCTATTGTGAACTATCTTTATCCCGGCTATGACCTACACCACCGATTTCGACATAATTTTGGGATCTGTGTGTACATAAAAATGACCTTTCATGTCATCGAGAGGAGAAGCTAGACACCAGCGAACCTTGATATCATATGGCTAAAATTCACCCTCAAAGTTCATCGACCAAGTTTATCTGCTGCCTCTACCGACCGCCAAGTAACACCGATTACCAAAACTTTTTCACGACATTATCCGAAAGCTGTGATAGTATACAGTCAAACTATCCACAGAGGCGGAAATTGTCTTTTTAGGCGATTTCAACGTCCACAATATACCCTTGCTGAAACACCACAACAAAACAGATAACGAAGGCAGAGAAGCAGAAGCTTTTGCCATAAGTTGTGGTCTAACGCAGCTTGTCGATGAACCTACCCGTATCTCAGAAAGGGGCGAATTTGCAGCGCTTTTAGACTTGTTCCTAACCACCAATCCTGACTCGTACACAATTCAAGTAGATGCTCCACTTGGTTCGTCCGATCATAAACTTATAATAACAAAGTGCGAAATGCTCATCCCACCAAGCCTACAAACCACTTCCTCGTAAAATGTGGCACTATAAATCGGCAAAATGGAATGACCTAAAACAGTATTACCTGGATTTTCCATGGCAAGAGGTTTGCTTTAAAACAGCTGATCCACTATTTGCTGTAATGAAATAACACAAGTAATCTTATCTGGAATGGACGCATATATCCCACATACAACTAAACGTAGAGCTAATGCAAAACCTTGGTTCAACAGCCAGTGTCAAACGGCTGTACAGAAAAAAACACAGAGCATATAACCTTTGGAAACGACAACAAACCGCTCAAAACCACACAGAATTTATAGAAGCCAGAAATAGTTGCAAAATTACTATCGACTCCGCTAAAGAAACATACAATCAAAGAATAAAAAACAGGTTGCTGAATTGTCCAAGTAGTTCTAGGTCTTTTTGGTCTCTTGCAAAAGCTGTTGGATCTAACTTCACCAAGTCATCCATACCACCACTTACAGATAAAAATAATCACTTAGCCACAACATCAGAGGAAAAAGCCAATATGCTTGCCCAAATGTTTTCCTCCAACTCCAACCTAACAGTGCCAAACGGAAAAACTCCACCGTTCATTGAAAGGGTTTCCCATAGTATGCCAGAGGTACCCTTTTGTCACAGAGAAATACGAAAATCCCTAAAAAGCTGGATACAAACAAAGCAATGGGTCCGGATGGCATTCCCGCAATAGTACTTAAAAATTGCGCCAACGAACTCACCCCAACTTTCGCAAAATTATTCAATTTGTCTTACAGGCAAGGAGTATATCCATCATCATGGAAGTCTGCCGCAGTACAACCCATTCCAAAGAAAGGAAAAAAGACAGATCCATTAACTATAGACCAATTGCTCTACTTCCGGTGATATCAAAAGTAATGGAAAGAGTTGTGAACAATCACCTAACCAAGTACTTGGAAAAGTACAAAATTATCAACGATAAGCAATACGGATTTCGAAAATATAGGTCAACTGGCGATTTACTTACATACGTCACTCACTTATGGCAAAAAGCGATTGAGTTGCGGGGTGAAACAAGAACAATTGCCTTAGATATATCTAAAGCATTCGACAAAGTTTGGCATGAAAATCTGCTCAACAAGCTCAAAGCAATGGGATTATCGCCGAAACTTTGCACTTGGTTTGAAAGTTACCTAAAGGACAGATCCATTTATGTTGCACTGGATGGCCAGAACTCCAACTCTTACCAAATAAATGCTGGTGTGCCACAGGGAGCAATCCTTTCGCCAACTCTTTTCCTGATTTACATAAATGACCTCATAGATAAAACAGTAAAATCCACTTTATTGCTTTGCAGACGATGGCAATGTAGTCTCCTCACTCTAACCACCCACAGGTCCTTCCGCACGTGAATTCCATCATCTTAGACTAACTCAAATATCGCAGATAAATAACGACCTGGAGATAATAGAGGACTGGGGTAACAAAAACCCTTGTACAGTTCAACGCGCAGAAAACCCAAGCAAGCTCTGTTTTCAAAAAAGAACAGCACCGGTGAGCCAAACATCATGCTATCTGGAAGTGCGGTCACATTACAGAGTCAGTTGAACATCTTGGGGGTTACTGCAGAGACCAACATGTCTTGGCACAGTCACGTGGCAGATATTGCTAAAAGGGCTTCCCAAAAAGCTGGGGGTGCTATTCGTACAAGACATCTGTACACACCAAGCCAATTGCTGACACTCTACAAAGCCCAGATTCGACCAACTATGGAGTACTGCTCACATATATGGAGTGCAGCACCCAAACATACCTTAATGCTTTTGAATACCGTGCAAAAACGAGCTATCAAGCTGATCAATGACCCCGCACTTACTCGTAACTTGGATGGTCTGGAACATCGCAGATCTGTGGGCGATTTATCTCTCTTCTACAGGTACTATCACGGAAAATGCTCTGAAGAGTTGGCACGTATGATTCCACCGAGAGTAGCACCTACCAGGCGAACCCGTCAAACAGACGGTAACCATGAATTTACTGTCAAACTAGAGGCACCAAGAACCTCATTATATCAGAATTCATATCTCTGGAGAACAGCATCGCTGTGGAATAAACTCCCTGCGACGGTTTTCCCTGCAGGTTACAACCTGAACCGTTTCAAGACCAACACACACCGACATTTCCGCGCACTTGCCGCTTCTCGAGCGTGATAGGACATTTCCTTGCGAGTGCGCATATCCGTAAAAAAAAAAAAAAAAAAAAAAATGACATTTTTCTTAATTTTCGTTCAAATATTTTTGTTTTTTTATGTAGGTAGGTTTTCTTTTCTACTTAAAATATAATTTGAAAACAAAATTTGGACAAAACTCGATTTAAAGTGGTACATTAGGACGTAAAACGATCTGTAGAATCCAAAAAACAAAAAATATACAGGGTGTGCCGTTTGAAAATCGAAAGTTTCGGTAATTTCCGGTGAAACCGGAAGTCAGAAAAACTTGTCGTGAATGCACAAAAATGACGATTCGTTAGAATATCAAGCCTACCAAGTTTCGTTGATATCGATGAACAACTAAAAAAATGGCAGCCGGAAAGTAATCTCGTGGGCAGCCGGTATACAAATAATGTATTCGGGCATTTTTGCTAACTTTCATTTATACTCGGTTCCAATGATTGCTCAGAGTGAGTTTAAGGTTGTCTTACCGCAAAATAAATTCTTGCTGAAAAATAAATTGCAGTACACATACTATGGTCAAGAATGTCCAGAAATTATCCAGAAATTCAATAATTGTGGAAGAGAAGACATTCATGAAATCCAAAGAGACAGCCCATGCGAAATTAAACTAGTAGAATCTGACAAAAATACCTCCACCTGAGAACAAACCGAAGTTAAAGTCCCGCAAATTATCATCAATCAATTGGACGATTCCAATCAATGGATATTGGTCGTTCCTGTCAAAGAAGCCATCTAATTCAAGGAAGTACAAAACATCATGGGAACATTTATGCTTCAAATACCAATTGGTTGTTAAGTGGCCACCGCTGATGCCATGATGCCGACCCTCAATTTAAGTCGACATCTAAAATATTTGAAATTAGACGACCTTCACCAATTGAGCAAAGAAGAAATGGACATACGCCCACAACTGAGTTTCACCGAAATCAATAGAATACCCAGCCTTGGGACAATCCTTATATATGTCCTCATCGTTATTGCCTGTATCTTCTTGGTTTACATGAAATATGTAAAAGCCGAAGAAGGAAGGAGTTATATCGCGTCTATTTGCTGAGTTTAAAAGGCTTATTTCTCTTTTCAGTTTATTATAAATGTATGTTTTTTCCTAGGATAGTCAGTCAGTTGAAATTAATTATAATTGTAACATTTATTGTAACAAGCTTTCGCTAGTATAAATTTTCGGATTGTTAATAAAAGTAATTTTTAAAAAACCAACCCTCGGTTTCTGACTTGGTAACTCACTTTTCAGTAGTATCTACTGAACAACCTCTAATAAATTATATATCATTCGATTCAGCAGAAAATTCTGAGCATTTTTTATCTGAAACTTTTTTCTGTATAATTTATAATTATAAAAAGAAAAAATGGTTAAAAAAAAAAATAATTAAAAAAAAAATCTTTTTTTTTCAATTTTTGGGGAAACTTTCTTTTATTATTGAATCATTTGTGGTTGAAACAATTTTTTTTAATAAATTATAGACTTTTCCAAGTAATTTCTTTTTTTGAAATAGAAAATTGATCAAATAATAATGGAGATACGAATTTTTCAAAAATTGCTCCATCCGCGATCTTGAGGTGGCTGTTTTTCGGAAAAAAATAATTTACAGAAATGCCAACATACCATTTGGTAATCTAGTAGTCCCATATTTTCATAAAATAAAGCATTTTCAAACTTAGCACGAGATCGAAGCGAGCGGCCGTTTTTGAGCCCTATGATAATTAGACTACTATGGTTTATAATAGCATGATTTGAAAAAATTCCAGATAACACAATTTTTTTGGCTTAACAGGTATTTGCGCAGAAAACGAAAAACTTCACGTCGATTGATCATCAAAAATGTCAGTTGATTTTTATAGGTGATGAATTTGACGTTTGATACACGCATAAAACGTCAAGTTGTCGAACCAATGTCAAAAAAAGAACGAATTTCGCGCAAATGAAAATGAGGCATAAGACAATTTTCTCTGAGCTAGAAACGAAACTTAAGCCTAGTACTCATAACAACGAAATTCGCTCTTTTTTGACATTGCTTCGACAATTTGACGTTTAATGCGTGAATCAAACGTCAAATTGTCAAAGCAATATCAAAAAAGAGCGAATTTCACGGTTATGAGTATTAACAATGGTACTAGGCTTGAAGCCGATGGATAACGCTTTTTCCGTCATAGAAACAGTGGTGTAGCATTATAAACAACACATCCAAGTAAAGAATTAAAAAAATTTCAGCCTCCTCAACTCCCCTTCAAACCACTTACCGCTACCTTGAAAAAACCTCCTGCAGTCCCTATTAAATATTCAGTACTATCGTCGCCGCCACCTTGCCCCACCCCCGACTACGACACCTTAAGTTTATCCAGCAGTACCTCCTCCCATACTCCGATAAATAAACGGATTTTAAGCAAGAGTCAATCGGAAACGAGCACAATTAGGAGAGGGGGCAGGCCTGTAAGCGTCACCATTGGCGAATACCCTTCAATGAGACGTGAAGTGGGAAAATTGGATTTTCTACAAAGTACTAACAAAACCAGTGGCGGAGCCATAAACGACAGATTAACCAGTGAGCTAACACAGACTCTGAATAGGTCTAATTTAAAAAAACGAACGGAGTCTATGGTAAGCATTCATTTTAACGAGATTATCCAAGTATTGACGATACAATATTTTAGGAAAATTTAATCGAGCAACAACGTAACGGCACCGTAAAAATAAATTTAAACAAGTCTACAAACGACCTCACCAATGATTATATCACCATTAACGTCAACAAAAACAAAAGTATCACTTTTGCCGATGATAATAATTAATGGATGATATTAAATAAACCACTTTCCGTTATCCTATATTATGTGGATCCAACATTACGCTGTTTTGTGCAATTATTATGAATGTATGTATTTTTATTGAGTTGTGATAAGTTTTTTACTGTCTAAATAAATTATTTTCTCGAAAAAATTAATTATTTATTTAGTTTTATTGTCTTCTAAACTTAAAGAGTTGAAAAAATTGTGTTCGTCCTCGAAATAGCGCGCCTTCAACAAAAATTCTCTCGCCATTTGGTTGATGCTGAAATTGTAATGGACGGCTCCCAATTGGGATTTCTCCAGGAATTCTGTGGTACCTTGTAGCGAGTCAATTAGCGTGTCTTCGTGACAGTTTGTTTGTTTCAAACATGTGTGCAGCCCTTGGGGTTTTATATTAGGACGGATTTCATCACCTGCGCCCATGGTTTTTGGTGGCGGACTAATAAAATTGAATATTTTCGTAAAAAAGTTATTCTCTCGACAATTATTGTTTGGTGTTTTGCTTTTGATTGAAATTTTTGAGGCACCTGAAAAATTAAATTTATTATGATCTTATAATAATTGCGTTCCTTCATTTAAAAAGCATATTAAAGCTCCACCCATGGATAGCACCTTAATAACGGGTGACTCAGAGTAAATTTCCCCGAACGCGTCTTGTACATCCAACTCAATATTTGTAGAGGGGTTAGCGCTGGCAATTTACGGCGACTGCGTGCGGATTATCAGTAAACATGGAGCAGTAGTCGAACAAGCAACGCGCGTTTAGTGTCGAGGCGTTTTTTAAATCAAACGATTCCCATGTCGCGGCACGGCGACGTTTTTGTAAGCGTTACAATATTCGGAGTAATACGTGATACTCCGTCAAAAAATTTATTGAAATTATGGGTTCAAAGATTCAAAGAAAGTGGTCCAATGGCAAAACCGAAGCGTCCCGGCCAACAGAAGTCCATCAGAAAGCCAGAGAACATTGGGATTGTGCGACATGCTGCGACTGAAAATCCGAGGCGCTCAATTCGAAAACATGACGGGACGCTTCTGATTTGCCAATTGCCCCTATACCACTCAGTGTTGCCAGATAAATTAGAAAAAAATCGTGAGAATCGAGAAAGAATAATCGTGAGACTAAAAATTGCTTAATATTGTAAGAAAATAAAGCACAATAATGTTCTCTCATAGATTTTTGATGTGGTGACGTCATCCTCGCAGATTTCGTACCATTTTAAGGTTGTTAAGAATTAAATCCTCTACGACATATCAAAAAATGGGCAAAATCCATATAACCCAAAAATCCCATGTTAGGTGTGCGTTATCCTTTAAAAAAGGTGATTTGACGTTTATGAATCAGTTTTTTCGACTTGGATAATGTATTTTCTTCCAAGAGTTGAGGTCTACATCTTACGTCACAAATAGTGGGGTCTTATTGACTTGACAAAGACTTTCAGCTCAATAAGCAGTCGTATAATACGTTAAGTGTTCAGGCGCGCATATACCATGAACGACGTATCATAACTAAGTATTGTATAGTGGATTTTTATTTCGATTATTCTCGATTATATTATATTTGATTAGTGATTTAAGAGAGAATTCGTAAGAATTGCTACCTCATTCGCGAGATCGTGAAACTCTAACCAAAATCGTGTAATCTTATGAATATTCGTGAGATCTGGCAACACTGGTACCACTTTGAATCTTTGAACCCACGATTTCAATACATTTTTTGATGTAGCGTCACGTATACGCCGGATATGATTACGGTTACAAAAACGTCGCCGTGCCGCTACATAAGAATCATTCGATTTAAAAAACGCCTCAACCATAAACGCGCGTTGCTCGTTCGACCACTGCTCCATGCTCACTGATAATCCGCACGCAATCGCCGCATATTGCCAGCGCTTACCTCTCCACAAATATTAAGTTGGATGTACAGGGCGCGTTCGAAAACGGAAATTTACTCTGAGTCACCCTGTATAAATCAAGTGCCTTTACACCCAAGGATAATACATAATACTACAGGATAGCTTATCCTCATAATAAGGCCTGTGTAGATCAAATCTCAAGCACTCAAATTCCGGCAAAGAACCAGTGATAACGTAGACAGCGTGGCATTTCTCGACTTGACGTAGGGTGTTTGCACCACAAGTTATGATTCCGCGGGCTTGGTTTTAGTACATTAATGGCCATTCTGAAACAACGCTTTTTAAGATCTCGATTGTATCTTCCTTTTTGCCTTAATGAAAATTAGATAAAATTTTACATCATAAACGTATATTCTAAACTATGACCGCTGGTGCAAACAGCTGACGACGTAGTTGATGACGTCGTCAACGATGCTACATGGCTGCAATTTCCAAAAACGAGACCGATAAGCAATCCTGTGTTATTATCCTTGGTTTACTACACCTACACGAGCTTAACTGTCTTGATTGTAAGGTTTGAATTTTATATTCGGGCAGTTTGTTCAGCAATTTGGCAACAATATGGCCGATCGATGGCAAATATGGAGGACGCTGGGAGAACATAAGAAAGGTTTTTTGGTAAATGGGCATCCTGGGATCGCGGTACAATCGACACAAATATTCAAATACCCTGAAAAATGATTCGTCAATAAAGCAGATATCAATTTTAAATAAAATACAGCTACTGGTATGTGGAAGCGTGTTTTTTTCTGGCATAGGCCCACGTTTGCCGTAACCTAAAAATGGGTGGACTTTGTAAACCACCCAATACGGACTTGCACGAATGGAAATTTGACATTCGGTGACATTTATCGGCAACGATAATGAAACGGGCTACCAATCTGGCTCGGACCTAAAAAAAAACAGATTACGGTCCTGAATAAACTTTCTTTTTAAGCTCGACTTTTATAAAGTGTCCAAAATACCATGATAAACTACTGAAATAGAGTTGCGATTTATTTGTATTTCTAACTTAGAATCAATGGTAGAGTCCGCGTCAGCATAGGGTTTCCATAAAGGTTTTTCGGAATTCAGGACAAAGGAGTCAAGAAATCCAGACAAAATCCGGACTTTGCCGAAATAGCTATTGAGAGTGTGTAAAGTGAAAGGCGATTGCGACAAAATTCACATTTGTGAAAAAAGGTTCACTTTACACACGTATTGCATAATATACAAAAACTTTCTACTACCAATAAAATATGTATTAAAAAAATAAATTTAGACAAATACTTTACGCACTAGTGCCTAAAGTAAAGTAATTTACTATAAGAAAATTACAGTGTCGACATCTGTCATTGACATTACTTCACGCACTAGTAGGCAATTTTTCGCGAGGATAATCAAGCATAATCTAATTATGCCATGCTGGATTATATGATGTGTCAACTGTCTCCTCCCGTAACTTCCTCTCCATTCAATTCTGGGCCTGCGCGTGACGTCACTATCAGCAGCTTATAGTGATAACGTCACCCGCAGACCACGATGGAATGCTTGCGATTCAGGCTGTGCTAGTGAGTTAATTGTTTCGTCGATTTTAAATGTAGAAAAGGTGATTTTCGGTCTGCTGTTCTCACAGAAGAAGTTAAGTGTTCTTGATTCTCGAGTATCTCAGAATTTGATGATGAGTGAGTTAGGGGAGTATCACAACTGGAGTATGACACAATTGACATATCACATAATCTAGCATACTTGAGTATGCTTGGTTATCCTCGCGAAAAATTGCCTAATGACCCTAGTGTGTAAAGTGACTTCCTTTACGTACTAATGCGTGAAGTGAAATTTTACGTCTTTTGGATTGTGCGTAAACTGAGTATGAGTTTTGGATTGTGCGTAAACTGAGTATGAGACAGTATGAGTGTTCTCCGAGTTTTCCGGACATTGTCCCGAATTCCGGCCGGACTTCCCCGGACACCCTAAAAACCCAAACATGTCCGGGTAAATCCGGACGTATGGAAACCTTAGAGCAGTAAAGAGTACGGTGACGACACGGAAAGCTGCGCGAAGCGGGTCCAATCTCTCTCCCTCGTCTATCTCTCGCTGTTTACCGTGACCTGGAGCGTGAACTGAAACCAGCAGCGGGGTATCTTTTTACACAAAACTTGGATAGAAAATAAACTAAATAAATATGCCTGCTGGCCGTACGACAATGAACCACGTGCTTGGCGTTCGGCAGCAGCACCGAAAAATACGATAGTTTGGTTAGTCTTCAAAATTGGGTTTGTGCGCATTTGACGTCACCGTACTCTTTACTCTTGACGCGCATCATAGTATTTTTTGGGCACTCTATTGCGATGTTTCCACATGAATACCAAGCCTTTTATTATAAAATGGAACCTAATCGCGTATTAATAGGATAAGACATGTATTCTTGCGGACCATCTATCACCTCCTAAAGTGAAATACTTTTTCCGATTCTCCTCGTAAAATTTCGCTACCAATTAAACAAGCGATTCGATAAGAAAAGGACACCATTGCCGTAACATTGGGGGCATTCTTCGTGCTTCTCTGCCATAATATGTAACGCAGCTCGTCCGACGAGATTTTCAAAAACAGTTCCTTGTCCAGCAGGGTCAGTTGTTGAGCGAGGGTCGTCGAGTCAAAATCCCAAGCTGTCAAACTATTGCCAGGTGCCAATAACCTTTTGAGGTGCTGCAAAGTAGTTTCGTTTGGTCGTTTCAGAAGAGAGTCTTCGTTTAGTTTGTTATTGGTGCCTAATAAGTTCGAAATAAATTTCGTTTTTCTCTTTTTCCTATCGGTTTTAACTGTTTCGTTGTCCGTGCCGTTTTCGTTGTCCTTATAGTGCGACCTGCGAAATTTTTTAAAGAATTTCCTTGGCCTTTTGCCCAAACATTTCAGTTTTCTTTTTGAATACTTTTCTTGATTGTCGCGAATTTTTTTCAAATACTTTTGCTGTTCTATATAGGCGTCTCTGGCTGTCACCGGTTTGTACCAGTAACCGGGGGTCCAAAATAAAATGAGGGGTTTTTTAGGGGCATTACTAAATAACAGAAAACGCCTGATGATAATACAGGATTGATAAAATCAGAAAAATCATACATAAAATTGTACTCATTGTGGCTGGTGAACTCGGGACAGGAAATCGAAGCGACCAAATGTTGTTGGCTTACGGGTAAAGTACTGCCACTGTCTACTGTCAAATTGACAGTCGATACGGCTTTATTCAGATGCAACGAGTACTCGTCTGCGCTGCTAGTGTGCCAAGGGCCTAAACCGTAAAGAAATAGCGATTTTGGAGCGAAACCGCAACGTCTTCTGTGGCGTAATCTGAAAAATTGTTAAGAAAATTAGATAGGTAATGGTGATTTTCTCTAGAATTTATGCAGGATGCAGTATAGGAAACGGTACAATTTACTGTTACGATTCTGCGCAAAACTTAAAATTTGTTCGCACGGTGTTTTCGGTGTTGGAACAGACCTTAGACTAGACTATCAACAAAGTTTTACCTATTCCTCTGAGACCAGACACCGAAATATTCCCAAATCAGCACAGCCGTCTCGGCAATTTCCTCGTAATCCACCGAGTCCCAATCGACACTCTCTGTTAACGTCGTAGTAGTCATAGCCGCGTCATAATGAACAGGAGTGACGTAATCATCGACTGTCAAATAGAGGCCAGTATTACAACCTTCATATACGCCAGAAGCGAATCGGTTCACTTGAACAGAGTCGCCAAAATTGAGGTTCCTTTGATGGATTTGAGAGAAATGTTCAGGAGGTTGGCTTCTATGAAAAATACAATTTTTGTGAGTTTTGTGATGCTAATAGATTTTTGTGATGCTAATAGATATCAACATTGTTACAAACATTTCTACAATGTTAAATTAGTTAGTTGTGAATTAAGACCAAGGACCATACTTGTAAATTTTTTACCTGATTTTTCGTTTTTTAACTTTAAGAAATTCCTCAGGTCGAGGCTTGTGCATTATAGGATCGTAATTTTCAGGGCTATCTTGAAAATCTTTGCCCAAAAATAAAAACTTGTTGGTCCACTACTACAAAAAACATTAGTGATTTCTAAACATTAAATCCATCAAACCGTATACATGCCCTTTTATTGCTCTTAACAACTTCGTTTACAAATCTCGTATCTACTCCATAATTCGGTCCGAATTTGCACCACAACTGTCTGATATTGTTGTTCTTAACAAATCTCTTATCCACTAAGTATAACGTGCTCCTGGTCGAAGATGTAGCAACGCTAGTCTCGGATCTGGAAGATCCCTGGGGACTGGGAGAAAGAAACTTGACTTTTTCGCACCACAAATTCCAAAACATTCCGCGCTTTTCGAAACCCCCTAGCTCGAAATAGTACACGCGATTGTTACAAAAACGCGCTTTAAGGGCTTGACGTTTTTTGTTTCTGTAAACGCTCAAATTTACACATTCCACTGGATAAATGGCGATTAATTCGAACGCTTCGATTTCCGGATCGATATTTGGATCGATTTCGAATAAATTTGTATTCAACCGCGGTAAAATGTCGGTGGCTAATATCAATTTGGAGGGAGTAAGACCTAAAAACCGATTGAATTAAATTTCTGCTTTTGACACATTTGACAACTCACCTAAATGCACTTGCCTTAAGCCCCAACCGTCTTTCGTCGTTTGCGCAAAAGAGCTTTCGATCAAAACCAAATCCTCGAAATCGCTGTATTCGGATAACAGGAGCTTCTGGACGCGATTAAGGGACATACTTTTTAGGGGTAAAAACTTGGGAATTTATTTAAAAATGACATTCCACGGTGACAATATTGCCACATAGAAAAACGCAGGTAAATGGTATAATAATTATTCTTTAAGTTGATTTTTCTGCACTAGCTTATGAAGTAGGTACACTATATTTATCCAAAAAAATATTATTAAGATTTTCAAGATTCCAGAAATTCCAGAAGAGACAGCAATTGGGCGATATAAAATTAGAATCTGTAAGTATGTGTAGGTATGTAGTCTAAAATGTTTCACTTCAAAAATAAGTGTAGTTTCATAATGAAATGGTGCCAAAAAAGTAGTGCTTACCTTGCGATTTACATTGCCCCAGCAGCACACACAAACAAGTAATTTTCGAATTGATTTGTCCCAATCGAAACACCCCGAGGAACACTTGCCGAGCCTACTTGAGTTGGAACTCAGAAATGCGCAGAGCTAGCCAACAAGAAAAAAAAATCTACAGCTGCTCTAGAAAGTTTTTAAAAACACTACTAACTCAAAGATAATACGTACTACAAGAGAGCTCTTTTTAAGGCCTGTGTAGATCAAATCTCAAGCCCCCACCATGCCAAAGAACCAGTGATGACGTCGCAGCGTGTCGTTTCTCGCCATGATGTAGACTGTTTGCAGCACAGTGCGGCAGCCGCGCTCAATGGAAACTACTTACCGCGCGATCCAACCCGTGCTCGAACATGGCGCGGCAAAGTGACGTTTTGCGGCAGGCTGCTCGTGCACGTAAAACGTCCATGGTTGCTTCGCGAAAACTAAATAAACATCTGGATCGCAAGCCGCGAGCGGCAGCCGCGCTTTAACAAAGTTCGTGTCTCAAGTGGCTCGTGCGGCAAATGAAGGTTTTTCGCCGCGCGCGGCTGCTTCGCGAAATCGATACGCGGCCTTTATTGGTGTGTCACCATTTCCGACGTCATTAACAAGTCGTCAGTTTAAAATTTAAATTCACGATGAAAAATATTATTTGATTTTGATTCACATAATAGGCAAAAAGGAAGATGGAAAACGAGATCTAAAAAAGAGTTGTTTTAGAATGTTAATTACCTTCTTTTCCAGGGTGAACATAGCAACTACACACGCTTACCCTGGAGTTAAAACGAACCCGGAGGTGACTCGCTAAGATTGAGAAACTGGCCCTAAGGAGTGCTTATCGGCCTCCTTTTTGGTAATCGACGCGATATTAGTTTTCAACTGTTCTCAATTATTGCCGACGTCATAACTAAATCGTCAGCTATTTAAACAGTCTACGTCAAGGCGAGAAACGCCATGTTGTCTACGTCACAAGTGCTTATTTGGCACGGGGGAGTAGGGGGGGATTGGTAACACACAGGCCTTATGAGGATAGGCCATCCTGTAGTAATAGTGAGTATCATCCTTGAGTTTCCACCACCAACTATAACCTAACGAGCTGCTTGATAAGTATTCCTCAAAATGACAGTCTCCCATGAAGAAATGTCAGTTTAAAACTTAGAGCAGGTGAAGGTAAAGAGGAGTAGTAACCTGGATTTGGAATTGTCAACTTTGAAACATAAACAATGCCGCTTATTGGTCGCTATTGTAAAACTGATGTCAACCTGCAGAAACACCTCATTTTGCGACCAATCAGGGTCAAGCGTTATTGTTTATGTTTCAAAGTTTTCAATGTCAAAATCTAGGTATCTTGGAAAAAAATAAAGTGTAGAGTAGTTGTTTATCAGAGTGATCTGACGTCATCACTTGGAGTGCGTTCGAAGAAGGGTTAAATTTTATCCAAGGGTGAGAGTGGGTATATGGTCACGTGGTCAGAAGAGTAAATTTTATCTAGTGTGTTTTCGAACGCAATGGTGTATAATTTATAACCTAACATAACATTAAGGTCCAGTGTTCTGTGCATTCCATTTATCTGTTTTTGCCTATTATCAACAACAACTTCCGAGAAACAGAAAATGGAATAAATAAATCTGACTAAACCTAAAAGTAGCAGATTTTATATAATGAAAAACTGACAAGTATGACAGGAGTAAAATTTACCCAGCAGCAGAGTTGGTTAAGTAAGAGTGTACACTGGGTAGCCTCCCGGATATTTTCGAACTAGCGTGAAAGTTAACCAGAGCTTATACCAATTCATTTTCGAACGGCTGGGGTGCACTCACTCGCTGTGACGCCCAGACTAATTTCGAACGCACTCTTGGAGTACACTCACACTCTGGGTGCGAAATTTCTGAACGTATTGGGTGAATGTCGTGTCATGAATCACGTCAAACCGGTAAAAACCGCAGGGAGTTTTCCAACCCAGTCCCTGAGTGGGGTAATTTGGGCGTACTCTGGGGACGTCAACTTTTGGCGACTGGTACTTGAACTTCCCCATTTGAAATTCATTGCTGTCAAAATTGATGAAATTTGATTAATAGCTGACAGCAATGTATTTTAAACGGAAAAGCTCAAGTACCAGGCCCCCAATTCTTGAATTATCTCGCATACGAAAATTGATATGAATTCGAATGTTTCCTATTCAATTTACGTTGCTGTCATTCGAATTCGAATCAACTTACGTATACGAGAATTTTCAAGAATTGACCCGCAGGCGAGTTCAGTTGAACTTTGTTTTGAACCGAGATTGCACAACTGGGCCTTATGGTTATTCAGTACTGAATCGATTGAATCCAGTGTACTGAAAATAGGATCACTTTCACACCCAGACTGGTATTTCTAAACACGCACTCCGAGTGACTCCATTCGCACGCCAGCCGTTCGGGTTTTGCTTTTTACAGTATTAAGGTTGACTCCATTAGCTCTGTTCACTCCACTCCAACTCCGCGCTGAATAGCCGAACCCAGCTCCTGTAGTTTAGTGTGTATTATCCTTGGTTTATTCAATTCATGCAATTGACATAAATGACGACGGTAAACCTTTTAACAGCTGGCAACACTGTTTTATAATTGTTTCTTTAGTTTGCATCAGGTTGTGCTAGTATTTTTATTTTATCAATAAAATAACGAATTTTCAATTTATTTCTAGAAACCAATAAAATCCAATTTTTATGTGATCCAGATATTGTTCTTTGAAGGAAACAATGGCCACTCCATTCCAGAAAATGTACGAAAAGTACGATATTTTGTCGGAGGCCAGGGAGCATATAAGTGAGGTTAGCTTGCATTTATTTCCATTCAATTTAAATTACTCTTTCCTGCTTGCCCTACAGTAAAGTCCCTACCTTATGTTTCCTTCTTCCACCAAATTGCATATTGGAATTTTTTCAATATACCTACCTTAATTTTATAACTATTCCAATCTTCATTTCATAGATTAACCAAAGTTTTGTCAAAAGTAGACCTGTTAGGGCCAAATTATGGACCAACTGGTAAGTGTCTGGTTGTTACTTAGCAGCTACTTTCTATTATCTAGAGCATAGAAAGTACCTGATAGGTAACAACGAGACGTTTACCAGTCAGTCCATAATTTGGCCCTTAAAAATGCTACAATTTCGTGTAATGTGTAATTAATAATGAATCGGAATTACATGTCTATAAAGATAAAACAGAATTGAATCCTGTATTATTATCTAGAGTAATTTTTCATAAAACCTTCAAAGTGGATTTTGCACAACTGAATCGTCAGGGCTAGGTACCATATGTACCTACAGGGTCATTTTTTATATTTTCCCACTCCCCTTAACTTTGTTATGCCATTGTTTATGAAAAAATGTAGATAAGGAAGGTGTAGTTCTTGAAAAATAGTTCTCAGAAAACATAGTTTTGTTCATACAGGGTGTTGCAGAAAGTTTAAGGAACAAATTTTCTTTTTTTTTTTAAATGGGACACTCTATATATTATTGAATATTCGGATTCTACATAAAATTCTGAGCAGATTTCATGTGATATATTGTTCATTGATTTTTATCTGACACTGGAAAAAACAGGTGTGACGTCAGGTGACAATTGGTGTTTAATGTAGGGTGCCTGGGTGCCACCAGCTCACATTTCTTTCGAGTATCAGATTAAAATCGACGGACTTTACACTACAGTGACTAAATAAACGTTTACATACAGTAGCGACAATAAAGGTCCCGCCGCCATTTTGTGCCCAAACTGCCCAACCTCTTGTTACTTTTAAATATGAATATATGGAATTTAAATTGACATCTATCATAAAAAATTGAACAACAGTAACAGTTGCATTATTTTTTTATATAGAAATTATTTGAAAACCAAATTATGCTTGTTTCAGAAATCTTCAGAGTACCAGGACTGTATACAAGGTACCAAAGGCGGCCCGAAAGAAAAAAAACTAGCTGCCCAAATAATCGCAAAGTTTTTTAAACATTTTCCCCATTTACATGATCAAGCTCTAAACTCCATTTTGGACTTATGTGAAGACTGCGATAGCGAGATTCGTATTTGCGCCATCAAAGTCTTACCGACTCTGTGCAAAGAAAATAAAGAGCTAGTCATTAATATTGCGAGCATTTTAGCACAGCTTCTACAATTGGACGTGCCAGATTATAATGTTGCTTGCAATAGTTTGGTGCAAGTTTTCAAAATTGATCCTCTCAATGCTATCAAAGGGATATTCAATAACTTACATGCCATGGATGAAGAGTCTCTACGAGAGAAAATTGTTGAATTTTTATACACAAAATTAATTAAACTATTAGAATCTAATGAAACACAAGAAATTAATGATATTCTATTGAAAGAAGCTAAAAAAATGATTCAAGATTGTTCATCAGAGGAATTTATGATTCTCATAACATATTTATTAGGAACAAAATGGGCTAAACTGGAAGGACAGCAAGAAATTATTAATTTAATTGCTGAGAAAATTGAAATAAATGACATACTTAGTCTCAATGATATTGATCGCTTAATCTTATGCGTGGATTTAGTAATACCTTTATTTAACTTTAATAATGACTCGTCAAAATTTGTTACATATTATTGCCAAGAAGTCCTCCCAAAACTGGATGAAATAGTAACTTTACAAAATGGAGAACAGCTTCAAATAAAATTACTCAGACAGTTAGCCTTAATGAGCTCCCATTGCAATCATATCACACAAGAAACCCTAAACAGTTTATTTCAATGTTTAAAACAATTCATTCCGTTGCCTCCCGAGGATGTTGACCTGTCGAAAAGTCCAGATTTAAAATTTTGCCATGTCGAATGCCTTTTGTACTCTTTCCACAAGTTGGGCAAAAGTTTGCCAGAATTTTTGCTAAACGATCAGGAAAAATTGACCGAATTTAGAGCTAGATTGCAATATTTTTCTCGTGGGGTGTCAGGATGCAAGCGAGGTCTAAAAATTGCAACAAATGAAAAATTGTCACAAGCGGTTTTGGATAAAGTGAATTTGACTCCGCAAGTTTTGGATAATCTGCTCGTTATTATAAAGGACCTTTTTCATCAGACGCCGTTGTATAAAGCTAATGTAAAATTGAGTTTTACCATGATTGAAAGTACTACTGCCAAGGTAAGGATTTCAATTTTGTGGATTATTCTTGTAACATAGGTTTCTGAAAGTAGGTACTTGACAACCAAATACTTTCAATTTTTTCATATTTAGGTAAATGGTTTTTTTTTTTTTTTCATTTGCTTAATGTGTGGATTGCAAAACAAATAATTCAGGACAAACATCTTCAAAAATACCTGTTGTGTAAATCCTAAATTTTTTTAGCAATCCTGGAATTTTTCTTTAAAATTTAAGTGCTTTTGATTTCTATAGGCCTTTTCTTCATATTCCCAATTAATTTGACTGGCTTATAAAATATATACAGGGCTTTCATTTCAAAACTTGCCACCTATGTTATCAGTGTAAAGAGACAGATTTCTGGAAATCGCCGAAACACATCGAAAAATTGATTAAGGGGGAATGTTTTTTACGTGAACCTGAACTTGGCTCCTTCAACCCTCTAAGCCCTAGGGCTACCACCTCAAAATTTTCAAATGAGACAGGGGTCGCACTCGATCCAAAATGTACAGATTAAAAACTTCTTTAAAATGATCTATTACTCGACCCCCTATCTCATTTGAAAATTTTGGGGTGGTAGCCCTAGGGCTTAAGGGGTTGAAGAGGCGAAGTCCAGTTTTACGTAAAAAACATTCCCCCTCAATAAATTTGTTGAGGTGTTTGGGCGATTTCCACAAATATGCCTCTTTACGCAGATAACGTGGGTGACAATATTTGAAATGAAAGCCCTGCATAATACACTTTTTCTTCAAGTCAATTTGAAAAATTAGTTAAAGCTTTCTCAATCCAGAATATGTTCAATATTCCAAGTATCATGTAATACAGCATAAAATAGGGCGTACTTAAAGCAAGATTGCTGTAATGATTTTGTCAATTGTAAAATGTATATTAATTACGGAAAGTAATAAACCCTTCTAATTATTAATCTATATTTAGATAGAAAAAAAATCTACGTCATCATCTGCAAAACGTCCCAGTCACACACCAATTACATTTGATTCCGCCAATGGGAATTCAAAACAGCCAAGAGGAGAAGATAGGAAACTGTATCAGCCCCCTAGTGGAAAATTTAGTAGTGGTTTTGGTAAGTATTACTCAACTTATAAAAAATGTATTTTAATTTTTGTTTTTAGGTGGTAGGAGTCGTGCAGGTGGAAGTTGGAGCCGCGGCGGGCAACGGCCCAAAGGGCGAAATACCTCATGGAGGAATTAAAAATCCATGACACGTCTGCAGCTAATAAACACTTTTGCTATAACGATGATTTCTGGCATCGTTCCATCAACAAAAGGATAATTTTACTCATGATAATATAAGTATATTTGTTATTTGTTCAGCATATTCAAATAAAAATGTATAATTTTCTTTCAATAGTTTTGTAACATTGGTCTTCTATCTTCATCACAACAGTTGAATTATGCCTAAATATTATACTTATTTAAAATGGCATTACTTTTATCATTACAGGTAAGAGTATTTTGCACAACTGTGGCCTGGTGTTGCTAGAATTATTTAATGTTTTTTTAACAGTTTATTTTTTAGATTCTAGAAAATTTTGTGGAGAATTCGTTTTTTAATTAAAGCTGATGTAGGTTTTAAATTTAGAATTTGCTTTTTATTTTGTTTTTCCTAGATTATTATAATAAGCTGCATTTATGACATTCATACTTTTCAACAAAAGATAAAGCTTAATAACAGAGACCTAGATTGGGACTATGTAACAAATAGACATATTTTCTCTATTTCTATTCATGCCCCTTATCTATTAATTACGAAAAGAGAGAAGAAGACAGCAAGTGCCATAACAATAGAGATAAGGATCTCTATCCGTTACATAGTCCCAGTGCTGGCTTCACAGCTAATAAACTTTTTCGAAACGACAGAGAAAACAAAAAAGAATGTGGAGTTTGCATTTACGTGAAGGAAAACCTTGATGGTAACAAGGTCTCCGCTGCAGTGGATTCCGACTTTGAGGTTGTCACAAATACAAGCTCCTTATGGTTGCGAATCAGAAAATCTGCTAATTGCATATATTTATCGACCCAACTATCTATCGCAAGAAAAAAACGTAGTCCTTCTGAGAATCATGGATACTGTAATCCTTTATTTTTGGTGATTTCAACTACTCCGAGATTGATTGGAAAAGTTTTAGGCCGCATTTCAAACAAGTTTTCAGTGATTTTCTTGATATTTATATGTACGATGAATGCTTCCCAACCAGATTTAGAGGCGATCACTACTCACTCCTTGACTTAGCAGTGGTAAATGACAAAAAACTTCTACTGGGTGATTCAAAAGTAAGCGGCATCCTTTCGTAGCATATTCCTTGCATAAAAATAAGACGAAAAGTTCCTATTAACATGGGTCCGGAAATGCTTCCTAAGGGAGCTACGCCCTTTCGATTAGGACACCTGAAAGACGTGTTTTTCTGTATAACTTCGAAACCCTTCACAAATGGATTTTGAAAATTGGTGTATTTTATAAACATTTGATGGCAATTAAGATACTAAACTGAAAATTCAAAAATCTTAATCAGTGTCACATACTGGAGAGAGTGAAAACATCCCTATTTTTTTTTGCTCGTCAGGTTTTTGCGAAACATATGCAAATCAGAAAATTTTCAAAGTCAATTTTCTCGGGAACGGTACGCTGTATCAAATTGAACCAAGAGTACCTTTTAAATAAATAAATAAATTCTTTATTTACGGACATGCCATTTTTACAAAGGTAGACTTAAAGTGTAGGTACACGCAATAATAAATATTTGGAATAACAAGTAGGCAACAGACAAATTAGTATAAAAAAAACAACATTACATAAGCCTAAACAAATATTTTGTAGTAGGTATCAAAACACAAACAACAACATAATACGCTTAAAATTGAAAACAAATACAAAAAACGATCATTTAAGGATCGACTTTAAAATTCTTTTGAATCTATCCAAACTTATGTTAAAAACATCCAAATCAGTCTTCAAAATAATATCATTCAGAGAACGACAGCTTCTAAGTAAAGGTGAATGGTAACCATAATTGGTTCTACGAAAATCAAGGTTAAACAATGTGTTTCCTCTCAAATTTCTAGATGGTACATGTAAGCCAACTCTAGCAAGTAAGTCTGGAGAATCAATAGAATTATTAACAATCTTAAACAAAGTACACATATCAAAAAACTGTCGCCTCTGGTTCAGATTTTCAAGATTTAGGACAGACATTAACTCATTATAATTTATAAATTCACTTGGGATGCCCAATCGATATGCAATGGATCTTAAAAACTTTTTTTGGATTCGTTCCAAGTGGGAGATGTGCACAGCATAATAAGGGGAACAGACAGGGCAAGCATATTCTACAACTGATCTAACAATTGCACAATAAATGTTTCTTAGGGTGTAGATATTAGTAAATTCTTTTAGTGACCTGAACATAAAGCCTAGTAAATTCATTGCTTTATTAGCAGTTATTTCAATGTGCTCTGTGAAGCTTACATTTGTGTTGAAATAGACTCCCAAGTCTCTAATAGTTTCAACCCTGTTAATCACCAAATCATTAAGAACGTAATTATGCAAGTATGGTGTTTTTTTCCGAGAAAAAGTAATAATCTTACACTTCTCAACATTTAAGGGGAGTTTGTTTCTTTGACACCAAGTCCGAAACATATCCAAGTCCACTTGCAATAATTGAGCATCCCTGACATCCCGAACAACCATAAAACACTTCAAGTCGTCAGCCAAGAGCAAAAAATCGGAATTTCTGAAGACACCTGACAGATCATTAATAAATATACTAAAAAGCAAAGGAGACAGGGTGTCCTCCCTGAGGCACCTCCGAGGTCACCGAAAATACTGAAGAGATGTAATTCTCAATCTTTACAGCCTGCTTTCTACCTGTGAGAAGACTTCCATTCAAGCTCAATAGACCTCCATGCAGTCCCACATCGGCCACCTTCTCCAATAGTATCTTATGGTCAACCCTGTCAAAGGCCTTGGAGAAGTCAGTGTAGACCGAGTCAATCTGACACTTTATTCTCCAACCCCTCCAACAGAGCCTCCTCATAGACCAGAAGATTAGTCAATGTAGATCTACCCTTAATAAAGCCATGCTGTTCTGGTACAATGACATGTTTCAAAATTGGTGTAAGAAAATCCGTTATTATAGTCTCAAATACCTTAGAAAAAATAGACATTTTGGATATGGCCCTATAGTTTTTAATATTATTTCTTTCTCCACTCTTAAACACAGGAGTTATATAGCTCAATTTCCACATATCAGGAAACCGTCCCAACTCTAAAGCCTTATTGAATATTTTACATAATATCTTTGAAAGAATACAACTACAATTCTTAACAAACAATACTGGGATGTCATCTGGACCACAACCCAATCCATTCTTCAATGAATGTATCTTGTTAAATATATCAAGAGGGGTAATTTGAACTGAACTGATACTACAATTAGACAAACTAGATAAATTAGAGACAGGAATGTTTCACTCACCTCAGTATAAACTGAGGAAAAACTATCCTTAAAGAGATTGACAATTTCATGAGGTGTGCTACCTTCATGCTCATCAAAAAACATAGAACTGGGATATCCACGATTTTCATTTTTCGATCGTACATATCTCCAAAATCCATTTCTGTTCTGTGTCTCGGACTCGATTTTCTCAATGAAATTCCTATGGCTGATATGAGAATAAATTTTACATTCTTTCCTAATTTCTGAAAAAACTCTATAATCCTGAGCGGACATGGTATTTTTATAGTTTTGATGTGCCTTTTTTTTTAGACAAAATTAAATATTTTAAATGATTATCCATCCATCTTGGAAATTTTGCTGTTTTTCTTTTTGAAATGGGTGTAAAGATCTCAATAGCATGATAAATTTGATTATAGAAAGTTTCGACAGCAGAGTTTATATCATCCATATCAACAAAAGAGTCCCAATCCACACAAGACAGATAAATATTTAAATCCCTAAAATTACAATTCTTATAATCTAGAAAACAATAATCATACTCCAACTTATTAGAATTAATATTTGAAATCAATACATCAAAAACCAAAGCAGGATGAGGTGTGTCCAAATTCAAAAGTGGATCGTCTGATATTGAGGTACATACATCTTTATTACTACAAAATATCAAATCCAGAAAGTTCCCATAAATATTAGAAATATTATTCACTTGATATAAGCTGTGGAAAGCCATGCAGTCAGCCAACTCTGTGGTTTGTTCAGATTGTTTATTAATAGCCCTAGTCCCATGCAAATCATTGATCCAGGACACATCCGGTCTATTAAAATCTCCACATAAATAAATTTCCAAGTTTTGACAACTACTACATATTTCCAACGCAGCTGTTACGGATGAGCAGTAACTTTCATAGGTATCCATAGGAGAATCTGGGGGTAGATAAGCATTGCCCAACAAAATATGATGCCTTTTCAAAGAAACCAGTACAAAAATGTGTTCCACTGATTCAAATTGAGTAGATATCTCTCTACAATTAAGTGACTTCCTCACTGCAACCATAACACCCCCTTGTGACTTATGGACACTGGTTCTATCAGAACGATCACAGTGAAATATTAAGTAATTACTCATTCCCAATTCGCTCGACAAAATGTCTTTGTTCAGAAAAGTCTCAGTAAATAACACAAAATCATAGTTTTCCGTGGAAATATTGCACATAAGGGTGGTTAGTTTTGTTCTCAACCCCCGCACATTTTGATAGTAGCCTGTTAGAGCTACCCTGTTGCCAGACCAGAATATGCGTCTCCTGAACAAAATTTGATGGTCGATCATTTCGAGGTGTTCTATCTTGCCTGTAATTCAATCGTGAATCCAGCTTCACTCCCTTATTTCTAGACTGCTGTGGTCTAAATTGAAATTCCTTAAAAACCACTCCACGAGGCCAAAAGTTACAATAATTGATAGTATCAAAGTAGTTTTTAGCAATACCAAGCTTCTGTGTAAAAAGCTGTAAACTTTCTGAATTTTTAATCAGAATCGCAAAAACCTGACGAGTAAAAAAAATAGGGATGTTTTAACCCTCATCCTCCCCAGTATGTAACGCCACTGATTAGGATTTTTGAATTTTCAATTTAGTATCTTAATTGCCATCAAATGTTTATAAAATACACCAATTTTCAAAATCCAATTGTAAAGGGTTTCAAAGTTATAGAGAAAAATATGTCTTTCAGATGTCCTATTCGAAGGGGTGTGGTTCCCTTAGGAAGCATTTCCGGACCCATGTTAATAGGAACTTTTTATCTTATTTTTATGAAAGGAATACGCTCCCGAAAGGATGCCGCTTACTTTTGAATCACCCTGTATATAACATCCAAAGTGAATCTCCTATGGAACTGAACTCGTAACAAGGTGGTTATTCAACGATTGTCATTAACCAAGTACTTTTTTGATTCGGTTGTCATTATTGTAACATGAAATGGACGCAAAAGCATGGTTAGATTATGACAGCTCAGTGGCCTTCGTTACAAGCATACGATCATTACAGTTGCATACTAGTTATTTACTCAATTGAGTAAATTTAGACTAATAATTATGGTATAATTTATACGAAGTCAATCCAAATGACATAAAAACTGTGTAGGGGGCATCTTCTTATGAAATTAAGCATATGTGCCTAGGAATTCCCAAGAACAAAGAATTCTCTAGGCTGTTGCACGCATATGCTTAATTTCATGAGAAAATGATTTAAATTTTTTGGATATTGCGGGTAACCTAACTTTGTTTGCTGACGATACTACAATTCTTTGGCATCATAAAAACGAAACATCTTTAAAAGATATAATACAGACTGACATTGTAAAAATTAAACACTGGTACGATTCTAATTACTTGTGCTTCAATATAGATAAAACCAAGATAATTAGTTTTAAATTTTCCTTTGATGATTTTTTACATCTGGCCAACCAAGTCGTAGAACAAAGTGAGAGTACAAGGTTTCTAGGGTTGATTATTGACAAGAATCTTAAATTTTCTGATCATTTAATACATTTAAATAAAAAAAATTCCTCGGGAAGCTATGCCGTACGAAAAACTCTCACAGAATTGGGTAAAATTATGGCTAAAACAACTTATTATGCATTGATTGAATCCCACTTAAGATACGGTATTGCGTTTTGGGGAAATTGTACTCAATATTTATTTAGATCAGCATTTATAATACAAAAGAGATGCATGAGATATTTGTGTGGAGCCAAATTAAGGGATCACTGCAAACCACTGTTTTTACAAGAAAAATTTTTAACACTAAGCTGTCTCTACATCCTGAAAACCGTGTCACTCATTCACAAAAAGTACAAATATTCATCTCATCCACACTCATACCAAACTTGAAATTATAATAACATCTCACTTAAAGGACTACTTTAACGCAAAATTCCATTATTTATCGTGGAATTAAAATGTACAATAAACGTCCACATAATATTAGAAACTTAGATTCATGCAAGATATTTAGAACCAAGGTTAAGGAACTATTGGCTGAAAAGGCATACTATAATTTGGATGAGTATTTTGATGACGAACTGTAGATGATTTTAAATTTAATTTTGTGGCATTTTTGATAGATCTTTATTTTAGGTTTGTCTCTTTGTTTTATTTATTTATTTATATATGTGTATATTTCTATTTTATATTTTTTAGATTCGTGGCTACTGTGATTGTTGTTTATTGCATGTTCCATATATATATATTTTTTGACCATTTTTGACTTTAACAATTTTAATTTAGATATGTACCTTGAGTAATTTTATTTTTTAATTGGAAGATACATATTTTAAAAGTTCATTTTATTTATATTTTATCAACATTTTTAAATTTTTTAACGTTGATGTGTTATGTTTATCTTAATATTTAATATTTTGTTTTAAATTTTTTCATATTTTTTTTTTCTTTTAATGGCTGTTTGTAATGTTTCTTTTTTTTTTGCTGTGCTTTTTTTCTTTTTACCATAGTATTTTTGCTGTGTATCTGTTATTTGCTATTTTTGCTCTTTATTTGCCTACTGTGTACTTTTTATATTTCTGCTTTGTCAATGGAACGATGTTTTTTAGACAATAAAGCATATTTTGACTTTGAGATATTGCCTACACAGTTTTTATGCTATTTAAATTGACTTTATACAAACCTGTATAAACTATACTCTATGTAATACAAAAAAATAGAAACAGCTTCAAGTTGGGACAAGCAAATAATTATTTAATCAAATCAGAATGGAACACAAGAATTTTTTTTTTAGGATTATTATAATAGGCGAAAAAATAAATAGAAATAGAGACAAATAATTATTTTTCTTCACACCATTCGTTCTCTTTGCGCACCTGATCCTCTTCGGAAGCAGTAAAGTCATTTTTAATGTTGAAAGTCTTTCTTATCTCCTCGGGGGCTTTTCCTTTAATCATGTTGGCCACAGTTTTGCAGGTGACATCCAACAAACCTTTTATGTCCAAATAATTAGCTGCCAAAATCAATTCGAACAACGTTCCTTGGTCAACTTTCAGAAAATCAGCGTCCCAAGAAGAAATGTCATCGGTACGCTTCTCTATAATATTTAATACAAAATAAATTCAAGAAGTTGTTGTTATTATAGTTAAGTACCTTTGTTTTCATCATCCTCTGGCGGTGGTGGATCGTCCTTGTGGAAAGTGGCCCATTGCAGCACTTTACGCAAAATAGCAGAGTTGACGTTGGGCAGAGGCACAGCTTCTTCTTCTTCGTCGTCCATGCCCAAATCCTCCAACATTGTCTTAATGGTCACTGAGCATTTGGCGATTTCGACTTCGATATCGAAAATTTCATTATCGGATGATTGGAGTTTGATTCTTGGCATTTTTGCTGGCTAGAGAAAAGGAAGTTATTGTTGATTGTAAATACAAGTGATTTTGTTGGAATAATTAATGACGTCAGGTGATAAAAATACGAAAGTTGAATATTGAAAATACCCCCCAAGGACCAAAAATCTATAGAAACTGTGTCTATAGGCATTATGGTAAAATTTTATCAAAAATGTATACTTACTTATTCTAAGACTAGATTTGGGTAAACACTTTTCTAGGAATTCTAGGGTGAAGAAAGAAGTTGCAAGTAAATTTAATGAGCGATTTATCACGGAAAATTGAAAAGTAATAAAATTATCACTCACAACAAAATGGACGCCGAGCAGTGAGAGCGTAAACAGCCAAACACTCTTGCAGCAGTTGCAGCGCAGTAAAAATTTGTGCTTTGCGTTGTGGTGTGGTGAATTGACTGGAATTGACTAACTGACTGACAGTAGTCAGCAGTCAAGTTGTATTCCTTTCACACCTAGGATTAGCTCCGGAACAGCTCCCGGGCGTTACGCGCTTATTCCTTTCAAAAAGTGTTTGTTGCGCCTAATGAACTGCATCCGACATCGAGTGACACCGAACGAGCTCTTCGGAGTCACTCCAAAACATACAATTCGGATTTTATCATTTATTTTTTAATATTAACATTACCGTCATTACCTAAAAGGGCTTCTTCCACCCCCCACAAATTTGGTGCATAAGAGGAAAGGGGGATGAACTATGAGCGACTCGAGTGCTTAACGCACTTTTAAAAGGAACTTTCAAGCTTTTGACATTGAGCAGCTCCAAGTTACTCAACGGGTTTAAAAGAAATACAGTAATTGAGGTTGCACCACGCATCTGTTCCTTTCGAATCGGGGTCAACTAACACCAGTGCGAGTAGCTCGAATATTCCAAACTCTTGAAAGGAATACAACTATTCATTAAAATATGAGGTTTGTTTAAGTGGGTTCGAGATGACTGTTCTATAAACGCCAAGTGCAATAAACACTCCCGATGCGTTCGGGAATTATCATTTTGAGCTAAAAGAGTAACTCCACATGCGTTCGGGGAAGACGCGCGGGAGTCAATAGAGTTGTTAGGGTTAGGTTAAGGTCAGTATTTTTGAAAAATTTGGCACGATTTACATTTATTAGATATTATACTTTTTCAAATTTTTAAGATGTGAAAAACTGGAGCTGGAGCAGGATTTTCTGTTTATTTCGATTCTATTGTAGTTTTTATTTATTTTACTTGAGCATCTCAGGAGTGCTCCACAATTATTTTGCACGTTCCAGTGCTTAGAGTGTCGTACACTTGAGCTACTCATTAATTGTATTCCTTTCAAGAGCTTGAAGCACTTGAGCTACTCGCTCCGGTGTTTAGTCGCCCTCGATTTGCAGGGAACAGATGCTTGGTGCAACAAACACTTTTCGAAAGGAATAAGCGCGTGAAGCCCCGGAGCTGTTCCGGAGCTCCTCCTAGGTGTAAAAGAAATACAACTATTTCTGTTATCCCCTGCCCCCTCGTGCACCAACCCTTTTGTCTGTGTTTCATGCTCCTGAAATTCGAAATGGTGGGGGTTAAGACGAGGGCGTTCCAGTGCTGCTTATGTCGAACAGTTCAAAAGCGTCACACTTCAGGAGCATGATACTCTAACAATTTAGGCACTGGAAAGCGGCTATGAGTGTAGTGTATTGTGTATGTGTATTAACTTATGCCCGATTGCACCGTCTCTCTTAACCGAGGCTTAGAGATAACTATTCCTTAAAGTGACATTTTCCCATGCAAAACTGTCAATTTAAGGGATAGTTATCGTTAAGCCTCAGTTAAGAGAGATGGTGCAATCGGGCATTAGTCGTCAGCTGTTTGCGCCAGCGGTTCTAGTTTAGAATTTAAATTTATGATGAAAAATATAATTTAATTTTGATTAACAATAATAGGCAAAGAGGAAGATGCAAACGAGATCTAAAAAGGAGTTGTTGTGGAGTATTGTGGACCCTGTGGTGCAAACAGCCTCGTCAAAGCGAGAAATGACATGCTGCTATGTCACAATAGGTGATTTGGTGTGGTGGGGGGCTTTAGATTTGGTCTACACAGGCCTTATGAGGATATGCTATCCTGTAGAGTAGTGTGTATTATCCTTGATCAACTGTCACTTTTCAAAAATTCTAACCTAAAATATTGTTAAAAAAAAATTAATTTTTGATTTCCGCAAATTTTCTCTTCTACTTTTACGACAAATCCCCACAACTACCTACAACCTATTTGCATTTTTTATTCCAGTTTTCATACACTAATATTAATAGAAAACTACTATTTGAACATGTCAGACTACGAGTTAGGAAGTGACGAAAATTTGTCTCTCGAACAAATTGAAGCCTGGATGAGCCAGTTAGCTCAGAGACCCCCTGCAGCCCCAGTTGTACAACCACCAACAAAGTTGTTACAAGTACAGGTAAAACTTTGGAATTCAGAAAAAAGTAATATACCTACATACATACCAATTGAATTTGATTAGGATTGGATGCTCGTCCAATAATCGGAATAATAGTGTTTTTGTTTCTATTCCGATTATCAGGTTACTAGTTCAGTTTGTTATTGTTCCGTAAAATGTTCACCTATTATTTTCAGACTAATAGCATTTATGCCATTTACTCATATTATTCCGAACATTTTAAATATTTTTAGAAAAAAGTAGTTGGAGGGCTAGTTGGAGACATATCATGAAATTAAAATTATGGAAGCTTCAGACAATCCTCCACTTTCATGTATTGGTTGTTTTGTTTCTGAGATATAAATAGATTATAATCGAGCAGAAGCCTTTGATGCATTAAAATTTTAATGTATGTAAATTTCTGTAAAATTTGATTTTCATCTACAAGTAAGTAACTGAACAACTGCTTCCAGATCTTTTTGGAATATCTTTACAACTTCTTCCAAATCATTTTCACTTTTGCTCTGTTTTATATTAGTGATATTGCGTAACTGAATCTTCTTGCATGTTTTTTCTTCAATGTAGTATTTCATTACACTTAAGGTTGTTTATATTTAACCATTTCTTCTTTTTCCTTATTGCTTAGAAGTCTTTGTTTTGGTATCAAATTGAAAGACTCTTCCGTGAATGTATGATTGTGTCGAGATTGTGTTCACTTCTTACCTCACTTAATGAATTTCAGTTTCATTAGGCAGTTATTTTTGAAAGTGCTACAAAAAAAAACCAATGTCAAAACATAACATGAATCGCTTTTCTAATAATAACCAATATACTTAGTCCAAGCTTGCGTCCAAGATAATTGTCATTTGAAAAAAAAAAAAAATAGGGGCGAGCTAATTTTTTCAGGAATGTTCAAGAGGGGGGGGGGTTCTGAGTGTGAAAACACTGGAATCAGAAACTTTCCTCTTCTGAGCTAGCTCTTGCCCCTTAGCCTCGCCCTTAGCTATAGGGTTTGTTTGTTAACATTGTGCTACGATCAAATTTTCTATCTAATTACAAATCGGATTCTCCGCTACTTTTTCCCATACTTTTTTTTTAAATTCATTATTTATTTACTAAGCTAGCGCCCATTTTGTGAGCAATTTTGTAACTCCAATTAAAATACTATCATAATAAGAGTGCAGCCCACTTTATACAAGAATATTACTGTAAGCCCTAGTCGGGCACTATTCCCGGACAACAACTATGTTGATTTGAGGATGGCGATTTTATAACAAAAAAGCAGTCAAGTAATTTAATATAATTTTTCTACAAACGTGTTAAAAATGCAATTTTTAACACTCCCCCGAAGCATTAAAAATGTTACTTTATCGCACTAGTGCCATAATAGCTATTTATGTACCAAGGGGATTATGTAGATTATAATGCCCGAAGGCGAAACTAGCCCGAGGGCCTATGGCCCGAGGGATATATTTCGCCTGAAGGGCATTATAATCTTGAAATCCCCGTGGTGCATACAATGCTTTATTTTCTACTCAACACAATGTTTTTTCATCAATTTGTTATTAACAAAATCAGTTAAACTTGTGTGACAGAATATTGTTTTGTATTTTGACATGTACCTGTACCTGTGACCTGTACCTGTACCTGCGACCTGTACATAGAAACGAAATACATTAATATATCTATAAACATCTCATAAGGCAAGGCAACGGTGGTGGTCCTGTGGGTTAACGCGCTGGACTACATGGGAAACGTTGATGGTAGACCGGGTTCGAATCCTGGCTAGACCGAAAATTATTTTCGGTCAGACATTTAGTGGCTGCCTAGGGTAAAGTGCAAATTAATAGAACAACAAAAACACCTTAAGGTATTATAAGCGGGCGTTATAGATCATAACGCCCGCAAAAGCGGGCGTTATGGATCAGGTTGTTATAGGTGTGTTAACGTATTTCGTTTCCTAGGTATTATGGATCTATAATAGTAAAGTAGAAAATAAGGGTGTTTATCGCACTAGTGTTAAAAATGAAACATCAAATTTTGAAAGCGAACGTCAAAAAAAGTTGGAATTTTATTTATTTACGTTAATATTAATTGTAAAATGTAAACAATTTGATAAATTTAATCCTTCCGCACCACTCTCAGTGATTGAGGAGGTCGAGGAGGATTGAACGGAAACAACTGCATTTCCAGTTGATGTCGAGGCAACATCTCTTGATGTTTTTTCCACTGTAAGCAGTTTTCGGGCAATAGAGTTTTTAGCTTCCAAGGAGTCTTCGATATACCCCTCAGCAACGGTAGAGGATTTCCATCCCCCGTGCCGCTTAATTATCGTCAAATTTGCTCCAGCATCAGCAAGTAAGCTCGCCGAAGAACGGCGAAAACAGTGTCCCGTATATAGAGGATTGAATTTGGAAGTTCCAGAAATCCTGCTATAGCAGCAGGCATTTTTCCGAACGTATTTATTCCGACCGGATTTCTGGTACATTTCCCTTTCACGTATTTGAGGAAAAGCCGCTGATGTCCGACATTTGCTGGACGAAGAGCCATATATTTTCGATATAAATCCAAATAAGATTTTTCAACGAT